GGGGATAAGTTTGGCTTTGTGCCCTGCACTTAAGTTGACCAAAGGGCTTAAATTTCTCCTTCCAGTGAGAAATTTAAGAGCGAGCCAGTGTGGTGTATTGGTTATGAGCGGTAGACTCGTAATCTGGTGAACCGGGTTCGCGTCTCCGCTCCTCCACATGCAGCTGCTGGGTGACCTTGGGCTAGACACACTTCTCTGAAGTCCCTCGGCCCCACTCACCTCACAGAGTGTTTTTTGTGGAGGAGGAAGGGAAAGGAGAATGTGAGCCGCTTTGAGACTCCTTCGGTTAGTGATAAAGCAGGATACCAAATCCAAACTCTTCTCTTCTTCTTCCTTCCCACCAGTTGTTGTCGTCAAAGACAGAGAAACCCAGAGGTCCAGAGGGTTTGGCTTTGTCACCTTTGAGAGTGTTGATGATGCTAAAGATGCGATGATGGCTATGAATGGGAAGGTGAGTTCTGTTCTGTGGTGGCTGTTCTGAACAGCGGTCCTTGGTAGAACAGAAGTCCTTCTGTTTTTAGGATGTGATTACGATAGAACAACTGTTAAAAGTTAGCAGTTTGGGGAAACGTAACTTCTCGGTGGTGGGGCCTCCCTGTGGAACGCCCTCCCATCAGAGGTCAAGGAAATAAACAACTACCTGATTTTTCAGAGACATCTGAAGGCAGCCCTGTTTAGGGAAGTTTTTAATGTTTGATGTTTTATCGTGTTTTTACTATTCTGTTGGGAGCCGCCCGGAGTGGCTGGGGAAACCCAGCCGGATAGGCGGCGTATAAATAATAAATTATTGTTATTAACTGAGGATCTGTTTGATAGCCACCACTTTTGCGTGCGTCTTAATTATAATACCCTTGTGGAGCACTCTGCTAACCCCGAAACCCCTCATTTTTCCAGTCTGTCGACGGCCGCCAAATCAGGGTTGATCAAGCAGGCAAGTCGTCCGACAACAGGTCCCGCGGCTACAGAGGTGGCTCGGCTGGCGGCCGGGGCTTTTTCCGCGGAGGCAGAGGCCGGGGCCGGGGCTTCTCCAGAGGTGAGCCGGGGCTTGCAAGTGGCCTCTGTACCTTCGGACTTTGGTTGCGTTGAACTGGATGCACCTCAAGCCTCTGTTCGGTTCTCCTTCCCCAGGAGCCGGTGGAGACCGAGGTTACGGTGGCAGCCGGTTTGAATCGAGAAGCGGGGGATACGGTGGTTCTAGAGACTACTATGGTGGCAGCAGGTAAGCCCTGGGGAGGTTGGGTCAAAAAATAGCCCCATGCACCTGCTGGTTGTAGCTGTGCCTTGTGAATGAGCATCTTCTCATTTCTCCCCACAGCAGGAGTCAAGGCAGCTATGGCGACAGGCCTTCAGGAGGCTCCTACAGAGACAGCTATGACAGTTATGGTAAGCCCTAGATCATAAGGGAAAGGATACACTGACACGGGAATGCCTGGAGCCTCTTTTTGATTTTTGCAGGGATGGTAACCTTTGGAAAGTACCGCTAGGTTCGCTTTGGAGCCTATTGCCGGCAAGCCTCTCCTTGCCTTCAAAAATCGCCGCTCTTCTGGCAGGCCTTTAACGGGGGGGGGAACCCCCCGCCCTCATTAATGCATGCGCCACGCTTAGTCGGACCCAAAGCCAAAATTGCGAGTCGTTCGTGACTAGCGGTTGTTTTTTTTCCGGAAGCTGGAAATGACGCCAGAGAAAGCCTCTCGAAAGCCCAGGAGCGAAAAAGAAAGGGGTGGGAGATAAGGAGAGATAGCGTTGGTAGCCTTGAGGTGCTGCTTTGCAAGCGAGTAGGGGAGGAAGAAATGCTGGGACCTTTGTCTATGCTTCGGTGCCTTTACAATTCTGCCTGCTTCTTGTCCTCAGCTACACACAACGAGTAAAAAACCTTCCTGGCTCAAGATCGTCCTTCCAATGGCTGTATTTATAAAGATTTTGGGAGCTTCGCTGAAATCCGTTCTTGTGTAGTCATCTCCTTTGTATATTCTCACTTTTGTAGTAAACTCTCAGTTCTGACCTTGTCAAAACAAAAGCACAGCCTGACAGCTTCTAATATGCGATGGTCTGTTCAGACTCAAAGAAAGCTCTGGGTTTTTCCTCTCTCAAGTGTTTTAACGTATTTTTTTTTAAAGCACTTAAGATTTTAGTTCATTTGTGAGCAGAGGTGTGTGTGTGTGTTTGGTTGTGTGTCCTTTAGTGTGTGTTGTTTTTTTTTATTAAAAAGAAAAAGACTGGAAGGTTTTGGGGCCCCATTTCTGTGGATTTTTTGGTTTTGTTTTGAGCGAGAAAGGACCGTAATTGTTCAGTAGAAGCTGAGCAAGCTGTGAAGTCGGTTTGTTTTAGTGCATCGTTTTGTAACAAACTTTAGTGTAGCAAGGTAGGCTCTGTAGCCTGGGTATGACTTTATAAACGACTTTAAAAGGCAACCCACCTTGGTATACCTAAAGCGAAACTTTGCTTGTATGTTCAACCTGCAATTTAAGAGACTTTTGCTTGTATGCCATAAAACGTATCCCAGAAAGACTCTGCAAATCTTAACTCGCAAGAGGCTCGTGGGAAAAAAAAAATGTTTATTTCTGTTGTCCTTTTTTTACTGGAAGAAAAGTATATGCCTAATTCAATTGATGTTGTAATTTTGAAGTGGTTTAAAAAGGATTTCTTGTACAGTTTTCCTTTTGGCTTCACGAAGCCTATTAAAAGTCCATCTGAAAAAAAAATCATCTGCTCTTGAAATTTTACATCTTGCTGCACAACACAACTCTGGATTTGAGCGTCAAAAGTGTACAGTCAGAGAGGAAGGGCAGCTAGCTGCAGAGAGAGGATTTTCAGGCTGGCTATCGTAACGGTGGTGAAAACAACGCAAATCTTACTGTACTTTTAAGTACAGTAGATAGATGCCAGGTCAGGTTGAGGGTGATTGAAGTTGAAGCAAGAGTATCTAAAGGAGCGTAGCCACCTCCTTTCCCCATCCATGGGGTCCGTTCTCAGCTTGGCTAGAACGGATCCAACCTTTGAAAAATAACACCGCCGCTCCCCATTGTAATTTGCACCTGGTGACTCAGAGCAGACAGCTTGCGACAAGAGTTAGCGTGTGAGCAAGAATTAGCTGACACCTTTGGTAGCTTGAAAAGCCAGCCAGACGTTCTTAGCCGACAAGGGAGCCTCGTTGTAACCGGGGTCAGCTGCTGCTGCCAATTCTTGACAGTGTTCCAAGGCCGATAACTGTGACCTAATTTAGCTAGCTTTGTCGTTGCCTTCTTAAGTTCTGAGAATTCTCTGCTAGCGTATGGAAAACTGCAGTGCCTTGACGAAAAAGCGAAGTGTTGTGCATCCAACAGAGAGAGAACCTCTGGGACGAAAGCTGCTCTCTTGGCTAGTTCATATGTGGGGATAGTCCCGTAATTCGAGGTAACTCCTTTCCTCATGTCCGCATCCTTCCTCCTGTTGAGAGCTCATATTTATATATATTTTTTTTTGAAAGTCTGAATGTTTTAACCCGTCCGAAAGCAAAAATTTTCTCTGCCAGTTTCGGTCAGCTGAAAAAAAAACCACCCTTAAAAAAAACCCTTTTTAAAAAAAATCTCCTGTACCGAGTCTTTGTTTTTTGTGGCATAAATTCCATGTGGGTCAGAAGGGGTGTTGCGTTCACAGCCATTTCTTTGCCGGTAGGGTAGATGTCAGATGGGGAAAAAACAAATTCCCCCCCAAGGGACTAATGCTCATCTCGGGAGACTCTTCCTTAAGACTTAAGTCCACGTAACTGTAACGTTCTCTGCCATCGTGTTTGCATTTTAACTTTTCCCCCGTAGCCCACGCTTATTCCTAAGCAACCGTTTTCCTCCGCGACTAATGCTTTTTGTGGGGGGGAGGTCAGCTGCCATTGTCCAGTCCGAGGGGGACGCAGGTTCAGTCTCGGAACGCTTGACCCCCACGCTGGGCTCTTGAGAGTCAGTGCGGGTTCGCAGAAACCCTTTCGTGGGGAAACGCTGGTTGCTGGGCAGGGTGTGTGAGGGGGGGCAAGGTAGAAAGCGTAGAGGCTTTGCCATGTGCGGTATAAATATATATTTGTAACCCAGGTTTGTCTTGGCAGGTTGACGGAGAAAAAAAGACATTGATCAGGAAGTGGTTTTGAGGCTGGGCGTGGAACATAGACCGTAAGCCAACTTCGACTCTTTAGCAGGTAATTCTCTTGGTGGTTTGCTAGGCGTAGAAAGCAGATGGGTTTTGTTTTCAGATTAATGCTGACATATATATATATATCCTAAGTTTTCTTGTACGGGGTGTTAACTGCGTATTCCCCCCCGATCTTCTCTTTCAGTCGCGTGCTGCGTGGAAGAGGACCGGCGAGGAGCACGCCGGCGTCCGGGCTGGGCAGCAAAAGCTTCGAGAGCTGTTTACATTTTTTTAATGGATTCAACAAGGCTAATAAAACACAGGGCTACAAATACGGCTGAGTTGTGCATATACGCTGAAGGCAACAGGGAGCCATGGCAGGGGGAAATGTGTTGGCAACACTTGCACCCAAAAAAACCGCACATCGTGGAGTCATTACTAGCCTAGTTGAATTAGGAGGGGAATGTAGCTCTTAAGAAAACTGCTTAGGGATGGCTCTAGCCCTCCGTATCTAGGAAGCCTTTAACCCTCACCCTATTACCCGAGATCCTTTATTTTGGGGCTGGGTCCTGAGAGAAGCCTCCCAGGTTGTAAAGAGTTCTGGCAGAGCGGCGCTGAGCATTTAGGGGTGAAGGGGACCTATCCAGAAGGCTGTTCTGTGAGCTAGGGGACATTCCCGACACAGCACAGGAGGAGCCCGGGGGTAAAACTTCCTTCTACGCTTTATGGCGCAAGTTAGCCGAGAGCTTTTGAGGCTCTTCGGTTAAAGGGATATTTCTTGGGAGTGCAGGGAAGGAGGCAAGCTTTGCAGCTCACTACTACGTTATTGCTTATTTCGTAACACGTGCACTGCTGCTTCATTGCAGCATACGAGAATAAAATCATAATAAATAGAAATGTTTAAATTGGCAGTAAATTATAAGCTTAAAACTCCAACGTTCTATGTATCTGGGAAGGCTTCGCTAAACATGTTTTAATCATGCGCTAGAAAGAGTACAGTAATTGATAAGAATAGGTGCTCTGGGTTCTTCCTACAGATAAAGCTCATTGGCCATCAAAGGCTGGGTTTCAGAAACAGCATATACCTAAAACCTCTTGCAGAAAACACCCAGCCCCAGTAAACAAAAGCAGTAGCTTTTGAAGGCTGTTTCTTGGTGGATTTATGGCTCTGAATCTGCCCGGCTCCCAGAACTCAAAAGCAATTTGCCATCAGCCTGGCTGCCACACATCCCTGTGTTGCAGGAGGAGGCAGTTAGTGTCTCCAGTTTGCAAGCTCTGCATAAATCCAAAAGCTTGCTCGCTTCAGCTTCTGCCCATTCTTAAAAAAAACAGCTCTTGATAAAGTAATTTCCCAGCCTCAAAATGGAAAGTGGCGGGGTTTTTTAGAAGGCGTAAAGAGCTTTGTATTAACACTGCAGCCCACCCTAACAGCCTGAATCTGCTTTTAAGATTCGGCCAGAGAGTTTCCCAACGTGACTTTTCATGCAATCATTTAAGGCTGTCTCTGCAATCTTTAAAACACACAAACAAATGGGATGTGGAGAGGAAGAAATCAAAACTTGGGCATCCGTTCTTAAAAGAGTTTAGCAGTTGCTCAAACCCTTAATTGTGATTTCTACCCATCTGTCCTAGGCAGCCTTCTGGAAAATTGGAGAATTTAGTAAATTTGTACAGTGCCCTTCATAAACTGGAACGTGTCCAGAGGAGGGCAACCAAAATGGTCAAAGGCCTGGAAACGATGCCTTATGAGGAACGGCTAAGGGAGCTGGGCATGTTTAGCCTGGAGAAGAGGAGGTTAAGGGGTGATATGATAGCCATGTTCAAATATATAAAAGGATGTCACATAGAGGAGGGAGAAAGGTTGTTTTCTGCTGCTCCAGAGAAGCGGACACGGAGCAATGGATCCAAACTACAAGAAAGAAGATTCCACCTCAACATTAGGAAGAACTTCCTGACAGTAAGAGCTGTTTGACAGTGGAATTTGCTGCCAAGGAGTGTGGTGGAGTCTCCTTCTTTGGAGGTCTTTAAGCAGAGGCTTGACAACCATATGTCAGGAGTGCTCTGATGGTGTTTCCTGCTTGGCAGGGGGTTGGACTCGATGGCCCTTGTGGTCTCTTCCAACTCTTATGATTCTATGATCTTGGGGGAGTTCACAACATAAAAATACAGGATAAACATAATAAATCCTCTCCTCCACCCCACAAACATTTAATGAAAAGGGTATAGGATTTTAATAAGGAACAGACCTGGTTGAAGAGGAAGGTGTTTCACCTGGTGCCTAAAGCTGTGTCTCGCTGGGGGGAAATCATACCTTAAACTCTGGCGGTTTGCAGCCCACTAAATTTAGAGTAGACCCAAATCTCTGCTTGCCAGTTTAACAAGGAAGTTTGGGGTGGTTCAGTCCATAGAGCACGAGACGCTTGATCACAAGGCTGTGGGTTCGAGCCCCTGGTTGGGCAAAAAAAGTCACGGGGTTGGGCTAGATCACCCACAGGGTCCACTTTACGATTCCATGAAAGGATGGACTAAAATTGCGAGAGTGGCACACAGAAAAGCCATAGCGACAAGACTCCTCACTTAAATGTGAGCCGGCGCACGTAGACAAGCCGTGTCCTTCAAATGGGTCTGCTCAGAATATGACATAACGCTACATCAAACCCCAAGTCTTCTGCCTGACGTGACAGCCTTTTAGATCCTTGGGAGTTTGCCTAGTCGAGGGGTAGGCAACCTAAGGCCCGGGGGCCAGAGTAGCCCAATTGCCTTCTCAATCCAGCCTCGGACAGTCCGGCATTCAGCGTGTTTTCACATGAGTAGAATGTGCCCTTTGATTTAAAATGCATCTCTGGGTTATTTGTGGGGCATAGGAATTGGTCCATTTCCCCCCAAAAATAGAGTCTGGTCCACTACATGGTCTGAAGGACGGTGGACCGGCCCATGGCTGAAAAAAGCTTGCTGACCCCTGGCCTAGCCTTAAATCTCCCAGGGTCAGGTAAGGTTCCCCATTGCCCATCGTCCTTTAAATGTGAGCATAGGCTAGTAGCCCTCAACATCCCCCTCTGAATTTTGGCCATCCCATAGTTTAACTGCACTGCGTGAAGAAGTGCTTTGCCTGCTCTGAATCTCCCAACATTCGGCAGAAGGGGCCAGACTTCTAAAACCCATGTTTCCAGATGCTGCTCTCGATTGTCCTCTTCTGGCGTCCTTTAAAGGCACGAATGCTTAATTTGAGGGTTGTGGGTTCAAGACCCATAGGGCGGCAGGTTCCTGCATCGCAGGGGGTTGGACTAGATGCCTCGGGGTGCCTTCCAACTCTTCCACAGTTCTGCAGTTTCAGACAAACGGCTTTCCCTGCTCAGACTTGGGGCTTTTTTCATCTCGCCTGCTTGTTATTCCTCCCTGGGCACACATCTTCCACGAGAGCTGGTCTTTGGGTTCCCTTCTCTGATTCTCCTTGCTGGCAAAAGGAGCAGGATTTTTAAAATGGACCTGTGCGTCCTTTTCCCAGCAGAGGGTGCTTTATGGCAAGAGAAAGAGGCACACAAACAGTGATGGCCATTCAGAAATAATCTCTGCGGGAAAATAACATACTTGAGGTCAGAGTTGGGGGACCCCTTGTGTGCGGAACCGCGGCTCAATGCTAGAGCTTCCTATGTTTTCTAAACTGGTCCTTTTATTTAGAACAATGAGGACTAGATTCTTTATTCCCAAGGAAGGGGGGATAGTGGTTTTGCATGCAGGATGGGCCGAGAAGACTTGAAATCTTGGAGCTGCCAATCAGTCCCCAAGTCCTTGCCAATCAGAGATTGCTTCTTTCCTCCTCCCTCCCCGTTCTTTCTTCCTCGTGTGCTGTCTCGTTTTCAGTTGTGGGCCTGATTTTGATTTTTTGTAAGCAGCTCCGATACCCCTTTGTGTGTGTGTGTGTGTGTGTGTGTGTGTGTGTGTGGTGGTAGGGGAGGAATCTTAAAAAGCAGAGACATCACCTTGCCAACAGAGGTCCGTATAGTCAGAGCTATGGTTTTCCCAGTAGTGATGTATGGAAGTGAGAGCTGGACCATCAAGAAGGCTGATCGCCGAAGAATGGATGCTTTTGAATTCTGGTGCTGGAGGAGACTCTTGAGAGTCCCATGGACTGCAAGAAGATCCAACCTCTCCATTCTGAAGGAAATCAGCCCTGAGTGCTCACTGGAATGACAGATCCTGAAGCTGAGGCTCCAAGACTTTGGCCACCTCATGAGAAGAGAAGACTCCCTGGAGAAGACCCTGATGTTGGGGAAGATGGAGGGCACAAGGAGAAGGGGACGACAGAGGACGAGATGGTGGGACAGTGTTCTCCAAGCGACCAGCATGAGTCTGACCAAACTGCAGGAGGCAGTGGAAGACAGGAGTGCCTGGCGTGCTCTGGTCCAGGGGGCCACGAAGAGGCGGACACCACTAAACAACAAAAGGAGAGGGATGCAAATACAGCAAATAATATATTTCACTGGGCAAAATCAGCCACCTTTGACAGGGTTCCTCCGTAGGGGGGGGAGCTGGGCAGAAGGTTTGTCTCTCAGGCCCAACAGAGGCATTCCTACAGAGGGAGCAGGCAGCAGGTGGATTAAAAAAGCCAGCCCATGTTTCTGAGCTCTGAGCCTCCGCGTCATAGGAATGCCTTGCGTGTTTTGTCTCAGCCTCCTGGGTTTATCTGTTCCTCCTGGGGCATCGCATCTCTTTTTCCATCCAAAACACACGCTAGTTTCCATGCTCTCCATCTTCCCATGGCCCTTCTGAAGCAAAAAACAAAAAGTACCCCAGCTGTACGCAGAGAGCTGTGCGCTTGCGCAAAATCCATGCGTATTTTGGAAGCTTACAGGCAGCACCATTCGAGTGCTTTGTTCCTTTTGAAGCTCCACACCTTGTCGATTTAATAAAGCTATTTTGCTTCTCTGACCTGTTTTGGGAAGCCTTGGAAAAGGTTGGACTGCGATGAGGCTGGGTCTCCCTTGTTCGTTGGCAGGGAAAGGCCATGGGGAGACCTCTTGCAACTGCTCTTGGGACATTGGGGGAACCCCAAAGAACTTTGGCAAGGACTTGGGGACCTGTAAAGGTAAAGGGACCCTTGATCATTAGGTCCAGTGGTGGCCGACTCTGGGGTTGCGGGGCTCATCTCGCTTTATTGGACGAGGGAGCCGGCGTACAGCTTCCGGGTCATGTTTTTTTCGCTTGCAGGCTTTTAACCCTGCAGCTCCCGGAATTAAAATCAGCAAAGAAACAACTTCATGGCTAGGGGGAACTGGAACTACAACTCCCGTCAGCTGCTGCCAGCACCGTGGTTGGGAGACATAGTTTGAATTGCTGAGAGGGCAGGAGGCTGCTGTGCCCTTAAACCCAGTGCACTGTCTCAGGCCGCAGGACAGACAGGCAACATAGAATAGAATTGGAAGGGGAGGTCCAGCGCCCTGCAATGCGGGAATATGCAGCAGCTGTCTCGAACCTGGAACTTTGGCATTATCAGGGCTGCACTCTGACTGGCTGAGGTAAATCCATCTCTCTCTCTCTCTCTCTCTCACACACACACACACACACACAGGGAAACTCACAAGCAAGGAATGACAGAGGGCCTGGGCTTTCCCCCAGCTTCTGGTAATCAGAGATAGGTAAAGGTAAAGGGACCCCTGACCTTTAGGTCCGGTCGTGGCCGACTCTGGGGTTGTGGCACTCATCTCACTTAACTGGCCAAGGGAGCCGGCGTACAGCTTCCGGGTCATGTGGCCAGCAGGACTAAGCCGCTTCCGGCGAACCAGAGCAGCGCACGGAAATGCAGTTCACCTTCCCACCAGAGTGGTGCCTATTTATCTACTTGCACTCTGATGTGCTTTCGAACTGCTAGGTTGGCAGGAGCAGGGACCGAGCAATGGGAGCT